AATTTAATTTTTTTTTTTTTTTTTTTTTTGGTCCTGGGGATTAAACTCAGGTCCTTGTGCTTGCAAGGCAGACAGCAGAACCACTGAGCTAAGTCCCTGGCCCATGAACTTAATTCTTTCTATGACTCTAGTTACAAACCAAACTGGACCAGAACCAAATCAAATTCAATGGTGAGGGTCAATGCTGACCTTATGGGGAAATCTGATTTGGTTCTCGGCCAACTCGGTTTGTGACCAGAATCATTCAGAGAATTAAGTCTGTCAACCAAGGCATCACCATAATCACATCTGAGAGTCATTTCCCTCAGCAAATTAAAACAAAAATTTCAAGAAAGTGTTAGCTCTAACAATAGCTAAAACGAAGAATTAGGATCATAACAGACAAAATGAGCGTAAGAACTTTTTTAAAGTGTCTTCTTTCTCTCAATAGTGTATTTATAGCATGGGGTGCTCATTATAGCCATAGCTGCAGAATTATTTCATAGTTTGAGTTCCTTCAAAAAGTCGTTACACTGTCCTGAATGGCTCACAGCAGTTTCTCTCACACTGAATACTCACAGGACACCAGACAGCCCAGCTACGAAGGCCTCCGTCTACTGCCCGAGTACAAGAACCGCGTTACTGCTCTCAGCTGTTCACTGCTAGCCCTGGAGCGCTGGCCTGACCCAGCTGAACTTAGAACACAGACTGTTAAGAAAAGTTCCTCCTTGGCTGTGGTTATTAAGAAAGCTTTAGGTGCCGAAGACCAAAATATGAACATGAGCCATACTCTGTGAATGGAATTAGCGTGCATTCATTCATGCACTCAGCACACATTTGGCCAGGTGTGTTGGTCCTACTGCAGCGAACAGGAAGAGTGTGCGTCTGCTGTGTAACGCACATGGGCCATAACAGATGACTTATAGGTGCATGCGTGGCCTCTGCGAGAAAGGTAACCGTTTTAAACTACACGTGGGAGATGCAGACCCTTCCAGGGATGAGCTAACCTGACCCTAGCCTAAGTCCTGCTCTAGATCGTGCTACCTTTCATACCCAACAAATGTGCGGCAGCGGTGATCCGTCTGACAAGAGTCACCAATGGCAGAAAATGGCCTTCTGGCAGTGTGCTTTGTGAGAATTGCATTACTTTGGATGAGGAAACCACCAGGTCTGTGTGTGCTACAGGAAACCCCCTCACACCGCACTCCACACGCCCCCGGGTGTCTACGGGGACCCTTCACCACGTGTCCCTAGCAAAATGTCACTGGCCACTCCCAGGGGGAAATAAGCACATCTCCAATGCAGATGAAAACTCAAATACAGAAAGGATGGAGGTCTGCACAGCTACATTATCTCAAAAGCAGGGTCATTCTGATGAAAGAATTCACCTCTTGACTTCAGAATACTTGAGAGATTTTAGTGGACACTGTAAAACTGTGAAAAAAATCCCATGTAGTGTACGAATAAAAGGAAACAAGTTATTGACCACATGGTTTGCCCCATTATTATTAATAGTGTCATCATTAGTGACAGCATTATTAGTCCCACTAAGACTATGGTTTTCAAGTAAAAAATAACTCATTTCACTGTAAATCTAAGAACTCGGATGTGATTTAAATTTAATAAATCTCAAAAATATTTTATTCCCCCTAAGTCTTTTGTCTGTTCTCTCCTAAATAATATTTCTTGGAATAATGCTTATTCCACAAAACAATTCAAGATTAATTGGATTGAATTTTAGTCATTTCCACTGTATGGATGACTTATTTAGAATAAACCATTTCAGGAAATCTGGGACATCACATTTTCCTTAAAGAGGTTAGTTGGGTATGGTAGTGCCTGCCTGTAATCCCAGCTCCTAAGAGGCTGAGACAGGAGGATGTTAAAGGCCAGTCTGGGCAACTCGGAGATCCTATCTCAAAAGGAAGGAAGGGAGGGAGGGAAGAAGGAAAGTGAAAGGAAAGAAAAGGTAAAGAGAAGGGAAGGAAAAAGGGCTGAGGGTGCAGCTGCGGTACAGTGCTTGGTTAGTGTGCAGAAGGCCTGGTTCTGACCCCCACAAAAACAAAAACAAAAAAGCCTTAGTTGTACAGGGAACAGTGAGGAAAGTGACAGCCATTCTGGCTGATCTCACCTCTGTCATCAGAATCCACACTGGCTGGGACACCCAAGTGATCTGACGTTTGCTTTGCCAGCCGGCCAGTGGGTCCTGCTCGGAGCAGTCCGGCTGAGGCCACTGGACCAGCAGTACTGAGAGCGGAGGCCAAGCCAATGCCGAGCTGACGGGATCGGGTGGGGAGCTGGGAAGCCACTCAGGCCCGAGCCCAGCTAACAGCTTCTGGATGCAAGGAGCAGATCGAGCTGTCCTTGTGGGAGATGCCTGCACCAGCATCAAATTCTGAAAAACCTTGAAGCTGTCCAGACCCTGGCTCCTTATGGAATTAGAAAAGGTAAAACCCTTTCCTCACGGCCGGTGCGTATCTTACACAAGTACAGTCTTCAGCATCACTATAAGTGAAGCTGAACGCGCGTAGTTTTAGTGTCGCGCCCCTATCAGTCTGTGAGCGGAAGCCCCTGCTGACCTTGGGGAGGGATGGACAGACGGATGGACCGACAGCTCCACAGGACTCTGAGCAAGTCCCTCCCAGCCCAGCACGGCAGCGCGTGGAGGGCGCTCCTCTCTTCCAGAGCTGGCGACACCTACAATCTCCATAAAGGACCCTGCCCTGGGAGACGACATCTCGCCCCTCCAGCCTCTCTCCTGTGCAGCCCTGGCCCCTCGCGACAGCGCACGCTGAGGGACACACGCCAGGAGCTGGGCTGCACTGTGAAGATCTGCTCCCGAGCCTGCGATGACGCACCCCGCTCTGGCACTGACCCTACAGTCCCCCGTGTACTCTGAAAGCTGTTTCTCTCTGTCACCCTTCGCCGTACCCCTCTCTAGGTGGATTGGGGGACTGATCGGCCTGCAATAAACTAATTTACAAAAATGCTACATCAGCAAGCACACAACAATACAGGGTTTACAATAATAAACTGCTCCCCGTTAAAACTTGGTGGGCACTTGAGGGGCGCTAGGATTCGCAGCTGTTGGCTCACTCGCTCTTCCATCGTGCCCGGAAGGGTGGAGCAGGTCCATTGCAAGGTGAAGAAACTTAGTTCAAATGCACAAACTGAGGCCCAGAATGATACGGAGTTAGGTATAAAAGGCAAGGAATGATTGACGGATTTTTGAAAAACCTCATGTTAAGCAATTCATGACAACTTCAACATCATTGTTTAGGAGAAATAACTTTCTAGGTTTTCAAGACCACTTAACTGAGCACCTCCAAGGAGTGAGTCCAAGGTTCCAAGGGCAATTTTCGGGAGCTGGGATGCGAGTGGCGAACACAACGTGCCCCGCCCCATACCGGGCAGCACTTGGCACCCCGAGGAAGCCGGGGCACAGGAGGCTCTCCAGGTGCTTCCCGGAAGTGGTCACATCCCCGACCTACCACTCGGTTATGAGACTTGAGGCATCATTAGATCTTTCTATGCCTGTATTTTCTCATTCGTAAAAAATGGGGACAAAAATCCTGACTTGTGAGTTTGCTCAGAGGATTAGGCAGGCTGCTGATACGTGTGCAGCACTCCTGAAATGCTTTGGTAGAGCTTGCTACTTTTATTACTGTTACTAGGCCAGCAGAGAACACAAACGTGCACACAAATACAGGGGACTATTTTGCATAGTGGTAAAAGCTGTGAAAAAAGGCAAAGTGGCTCTCACTTCCCATCTCCTAGACCACTTTTCCTACCTTCAAGCACGAGAGAAAGACGCTGATGGGTGGGGATTTGCTCAGAGGCACAGTGCCTGCTTAGCACACTGGAGGCCCCGAGTTTGGTCCCTGATTACCCGCCCCCAAATTATGAAAGCTGACAGTGGGAACTGTGTCACGATTAGGACACTGCGCCCGAGCTAAAGAAGACAGGTGTGTGGCTCCCTCCTGAAATCTAGCAAGGAAATGAACCAGCAGATGCTCACGCAAAAACGTCACTGTCAGGAGAAACGCAGCGGACGGGAAGGAAAGTGTCATGAGACCAGGATGGGGAGATAAGTCACCCCGATGTGGGGCAGGATCTCCGGAGGGAGTGGATTTAAAGGAGCCTGGAACAAACAGGTGGGAGACGGGCTGTCAAATCTTAGCAGCTTACGGCCCTGAGACGGAGACTGAGGAAACTGTGTGGAGGACAGGAAAAAGCGTTTGTTTTTATTTGCTCAAGACTAAAATTCCAGAACTGACTTCTCACTAGACGATACTCCTCACACATGAAGCCACTGGAACGCGATCGGATCTGGTCACTTGGTTTCGGGCCCAGGACCAGCAGCCCCGGGCTGTCTCCCCGAGCCCCCCACAGGCAGCAGCTGCGCGATTCCAGGCGGTAAAGATGAATCCCCTCCCTCCTTCCCTCCCAGGGCCCTCAGTGTTCGCTGCGGACACAGGACTGGGCGCAGCTTTAAGGAAAGACACAAGACAGGCTCACTTACGGGGACCACACTCTGGGGAACGCCTCTCTCTCCTCCTGGCTGTACTCGTCCAGGCGCCGGGGCACCTTGCGGGGCTGCGGGAGCTCCTCCACCAGGTTCCTGAGGAGATCTTCCGGGACGTCCTAGGGCAAACACACAGGCCTTAGTTTTCTTAAAACAGATTTCTCACTAATCAATTAGTGATACCTGGATTGAAAAATAGGCGAAAGAATGCTGAAGAATGAGGAAAATGATCATCTTTAAAATCACCTGTACAAATCCCTGAAAGGTGCTACTGACCAGTGACGCCATAACAGTCATCTACTTTATTAAAATCCGAGGGTACCGTTTTGCTCAATCTCTCATGACAATCGAGAAAGGGCGCTGGCCCGGCCCTATCCTAACACTGACGACCCGGCGCAGGTCGCCCCTTTCGGTACCAGGACTTGGCGTCCGTCCAATCGGGCTCACGTCCGCTCAGCATCGCCCCTGCTTGTGAACACCCCCGGGGCTCCAGCGGCGACCCCGCTCCACCTCCCCTGAGATCTTCCTCGTCAGCAAAACAAGTGGGGCGCGGGGAGACCGCAGAGGGAGCAGGCGGCCTGGCCCGAGGTGGGAAGCCTGGGTGCAGGGAGGGAAAGGCCGGCGCTTGTCGGAGCAGAGCCGGAGCGGGCGGCAGTTCTAATTTATAGACACTGATGACCTCATTTCAGAACAGACGATCTGTGGGAACAAGCTGTGGAGTACCAGTTCTGTTCCTAGGTGTTCCACTCCCACAGTACCGTTAGCAGAAGCAAGTCCCTTTGGGGTGGAATTTGTACCCAACATGTTGCTGGTGTGTGGTCTTCGTGCTCCTGCCTTTCCCCTTTTATCACCCCAGTGGGAAGGGAGTTAGGCAGCAGATGTGGCTGTGCCACAACTGCACAGCTGTGGGCTTGGGTGGAGCAAACTGTGATAGGACGTCGCCTGCACACACGAGGCCGCGCCACACGCCCAGTCAACGGGGACCTGGATGGAACCGGGCGGCCGATTCCACAGCCCGTGCCCAGCCAGTTTCCTTCGACCAAGAGAAAAGCTAAGTACCTAGCGCCACAGTAATAAATAAAAGCAGACTTTTAAAAAGTACTTTTTAGTTGAATACATTTTGAATGGTACAAATGTTGTAAAGGTTCGTCACGGGGAAAAATCAGCCCCAAAGAGTTCTCCATCCACGCCTCACCGAAGGCTCCCGCTCCTCGCATAAAAAGTGAGCCGAATGAATGCCCGGCTTTTCAGAGCCCAAACCATCAACGGGCGCCTCTGGGGAACGGGGCTCCTACCACAGTCCTCCTTTAAATGGAAGCAGTGAGTGAAAAGCAAATACCCGGGAACCTGTGGGTTTTTAGTCCAGTGATGGCTCATTTTATGGCTTAAAATAATCCTTACATCAAATATACATCATACATACCCATTTTAAAGCACACAACGTCAGTCTGTGAGAACCGAGTTGGAACTGGCTGACGCCGACTCACCTCGTCGGGAAAGAGGTGCAGCCTCTGCATCGTGGTCCTCCTGTGCAGGTTTTTGGGCAGCATGCCGTACACGGCCAGCTTCACAATCTGAAAACCAGACAGGCGTGACTCGGGAGGGACGGAGCAGACCAAACGGGACGGCGATGCGAACAGCAGCGCGCACACAGGAAAGAAGGGCCTGAAGTTACACGGAAGCTCGTAGCGGAAGGGGCTCCCACTCCTCTGTACCCCACCGTCTGCTCTAGGCTCTCTTCCTTCAATTCACTGCTCATTTAGAAGAAGGAAAAAGGACGAGATCAAAAATAACCCATGCACGTGCCAATTTTCCACCGCCTAAGAAGTTCTCTAAACTTATATGTGAATCCGTGGCTCACACCACCGGTCAGACACTGGTGAGGCACCGCCCGGGCACCCCAGTCCTGTTTCCAACGTGGGGACGCCGGCGGCGTCAGCAGACCGACGCTGTGCGGTGAGTGCGCGACACCCCAGTCACGGCGCTGGGAAGGCGTCCTGTGTGGACGGGCAGGGGGATGTATTCACTTTCATGCCCCTGGTGCTGTGAAGTGGCACTGTAACTGCCCTCGCTTCACAGAGGGAGACAGAGTCCCGGAGGACAAAGAGCTCCGCTAACGAAGGGTGGAGCCGCCCTGCTCCCCGAACACACGCAATCGTATTCATAACACATCTTCGCCGTAATTACCAGGACACCGGATTCTCTCCTCCCCACACTACCCAGGCCCAAGGTGGCAAAAGACCTGCTCCATGATTTACTTTTCTCTTTTTAAACTTATTCTCACTGCTGTTCTGAATGTGATTTCATGTGTTATTGGGTCAAAAGAAGGCCTAGGACGCCTTCTGGGCATGTGAGGTTCGCAAATCCAGCACAAGCTCTTCAAGAAAGTACTCAGGGAGACTTGGTGCAGCAAACTGGTCCTCGCTGTTTGTACTTAGATTTCAAGGTATGATCTGATGTGTGCTCAGACGAATCCACTAAAGCAATACCTGCTAAACAGGGCTGCATTAAATGAGGGTTCATGCTCCGCGTTTTATTCTCTCATCAAATCAGACTCCAAAACCTTAATACACACAGAAGCTAATGACTTGCAATAGATATTTTCTACTTTAGTGCTGCTAAGACTTTATTCTGGAGACATTATTATACATATATTTTACTGTCAAAGTTGAAAGCAATGACAAATCCATTTCCGCAGTCACACAAGCAATACTGTAAGTGGCCAATTCCCACTAGGTGGTCAGTGGCCACCACAGTGCACATGGACATCTCCCCTCTGGGTGGCTTTCTTTTGCAGTGTGGGGATCGGGCCCTGGGCCTTCACCCTGAGCTGTATTCCTGGCCCTTTATAAAAATCTTTACTTTGAGACAGGGTCTCACTAAGTCACTAATTTGCTCAGGCAACTTGAACTTGAGATCCTCCTGCTTGGGCCTCCCAGAATGCTGGGATCACAGGCCTGTGCCACCAGACCCAGTCACATTTTTTAATGCTTTAAAGTCATGCTCAGAACTGACAATGTTAAGACTACTACTTAGCACCTTTTCTGGGTCAGCAAGTCATTATCTCCTCTGAGTAGTACTGTAATAGCAATTGTATTAGTAGGTCATGTGACATTTGGTTTTCATGATCATAAAAATGTAGTTGTATTTATTTGAGTGATCAAATAAGTACCTAAAAATATCTAGTAAACATCACACTAAAACTAGGAAAAATTAGAACATGTGAAAAAGTTATAAGCTAACAAGAAGACACAAACACGGTAAACAAACAAAAAAAAAATGTGAAAAACAGGTAGATGCAATCAAGTAGCTCTGGCTGCAGACTTAAGGATAAGCTGAGAAATCCAGAAAGTGAAGAAGACAGAAGGAGGTGTGGTCAGCAAACAGACCTCCCTCACAATCTGCGATGCAGGGCATGTAGCATTTAGTTCACACAAAATAACCTTATTAACCACAAGAGAGAAAATATAAGAAAGCAAATACAGGTCCAGAGAAACTCTTAAACTAAAATACATAAAAGAGAGAAAAGATATGAAGGAAGGACTCAATGTATTTACTTGAAATGAGAATCTTCTATTTACAAAAGTATAAAATGTATTAAAAAAACTATTGTTATTCACTTAGCAAATAAATATTAAATAATCTATTTCATCAACATTCCGAGGCTGTACTAAGAATCAGGTTTCCTTAATGAAGCAAATGCTCTGAAAAGTTACATGAAGCACCGATGGGCAAATCACGTCCGCCCCGGGCAGACTGCGAGTACTGACTTGTCCCCCAAGTCATGCTTTTGCAAAATTTGAAGAAAAAAATTAAGATTAAAAAAAAATTAAGATCTTTCAATGAGTTAAAACTGCAAATGGATTTAACTCTGAAATATTTCTAATTCTTTATCAAACATTTCATAATAATTTCAATTTTTATTCATAAAGACAATTTTAAACAATTTTTGTTACCAAATGTCTAACTTCTTACATTAAAAAGTTGGACTATACTGCCTCCTAGTGTACAGTGAAAAAATAGAAAACAATTTTTAAATTTAAAAAATTGATACAAAGTATTAAAAGTATGTGTTTTACCAGTTACGGTACATACTATCAGCAGCCTTTATAACTTTTAATATATGCAAGTCACAGTAGTAAAAATTAAATACAGTGACCTGTCATAGTCTTTTAAAAAACTAGTTAGAAAAAGAACATTAAATATTGCCTACAAAGCAATCTCTGAGCATACATTTTTTAAAGACATACAAATGTTTCAAAATAAGCAGTAAAATACAGAGCTTTTAAATGGTCTGTCAGGGCTTATCACATACACACCTCCCCCACTACTTTAGGAAAAGTAAGAAATGAAAAAGTATTTTCAGATTCTGACACTGTTCATTCATGAACATTTTTAAGTAACAGCTAAAAACACTCTCTGCCTATGAGGAGAGATAAAGTCCATTTCTAGTGAGAGTTAAAGGAGGAAAGAGAAGGAGCGAGAGGAGACCACACTCTGGACAATCTGCGGATTGATGCACAGATCAGAACTTCTAGTATGTAATGCAAGGGACAGTGACGCAATAAACACTGGTGCAACAGCATTGTTCATAAAATATTTTTTAAAGCATGGAGCCAACAGAAGGCCAGAAATGAGAAGGAGCTTCAGAAAGAGTCCTAGGGCTGGCATTTGCCTGAAGGCACCCGCACAGGGCAGAGCTTGCATTTAAAAGGTCACCATGGGGGCTGAGGGACCCCTTCACAGGAGCAGATTTCTCTAGAAGGGCAACAGCAGGGTGTGCAGTGGGGGAAATTTCTAAGAACATTTCTGCTTATTGCTATCGGGGTTCAAAATCCCTTACGTCTAAGGTTCACCTTAAAGAAGTTTCAGGTTTATATATTACTCCATGCAGTTGCCAGAGGGTAAATAAATCTTTAGCACAAGTCACAGAGAATTCCCAGAGATGAAGTTCAAAGCACACATGCCTACCAAGGGGACTGAACAGAAACGATGACCTGCATGGGGAAGGATGTGGAGCCTCGAATGATCACTACATTAGCAGAGAGGAGAATGAAAAGACAGTGGCTGAACCAGTTTTTCCCCAGACACTTTTCAGAACCCAGGAGACTTACGGCCACTGGGTCCCGCAGGTGAAGCTGGGTGGCGGTCACCTGCCGAAATCCACCAGGGTAGCTGTTAAAAGAAGCAGAGGTGTTAGAGCTGAAGTGGGCTACAGCACTGTATCCTTCATTACTGCTCTGTAACAAGAAGACTGTTTTAATGCATTATACTTGTTTCTAACTGTGCTGTTTCTTAATTAGTGTCCTGAAAATCACGCAGCAGCCTGTGCTGCCGGGAATGTCTGCAGTGGCCAGATGTGACTACATCATAAGCAGTTCTCCGAGTGGAAAAGTTTCTTGGTGTAGCTCTGTTTTCCGAATTTTAAGTTACTCACTCATTCATTGGTTGTGGGTAGTTTCTCACAGCTTGATTTAAAACAGAAATGGCAGTGAGCCAGAACACTTCACGTTCATGCCCAAATGCGACAAACAGGATGAAGGCAGGGTTAGGCCCAGGGAACCTGGTGTCCAGAGCCCTTGGTTCTAAGTCAAGTTCATGCTCTGACAGGAATGACCCCGCTTTCCTGATTGTTGGTTTAAGGCTGCTAAGAGTTATATGTGGATCCAAGTTAAAAAAACATTCACTGTGTTCAGATCAAGTTTTATATAAAATGGATAAACTGGCAAATAAAAATATTTGGGATTGAATGAGTTAATTTAGTAACTTGGATTTCCCAGATCCAGAAACCAGGTTTTACCAAGTGACTCTCAGTTTATTAAGCAACTAATTGTACCGTCTACATATGATTTTACTCCTGTGAGAATAACATCTTCTCCATCTACTTCAGATTTCGGAGCCAAAAACATATACTAACAAACATATACTAATAAAAATTAAAACTGGGAATAAAAGAAATGGAAAATACTACATAGATGCAAAGGTTTATGACTCTGAACAGAAAGAAAGACTGGAAAGTCAGTACAGTCTATAAAAAGACTTCAGATTATCTAAATATGATTCCTTTCATAATTTTCTTTCAAAAAATTTAAAACATTTTAAGATAGCTAATTTTCAGACTAGTATTATTTTATCTTTTTCACAAAATTTCAGTTTCAGAAAAAGAGATACCTGTCCAGACTTCAGTTCCTGTATTCTGTCTCCATGGAAAAACACTGTAAATTCTATGCTAAAGACTATCTTTAACACTGGGATGGTAAAGTCTACAGCATAATACATTGATGCTGCATTTCTGGGGCCTGAACTTTACTCCACAGCATCTGGAAAGCCAATGCAAAGTTCTGAGTAGGGGAAAGACTCGAGTAATCTAGCACTCTTTAATTTTTGCTAGAGAGAAAACAGCTGCAGGCTTCCTCTGCATGGGGTACCCTGGATGGATCTGTGTCGGCCACAGCCATGGCTTGGGTTCATTTAGTTCACTGAACATTTACTAAACGGGTACCACAGATAAATACAAAGGGTTCTGTCTTCGAGATGAGATGAGTTCGATCGGTACCCCTAGTAGTGAGCTGTACTTCCACCTCAGGCCTAAACATTTTGGGCAAGTTACATGTGAGAGTTCAAGGTACAAACAGACTCAAACAGCCAGTCCTTAAACAATCAGAAGTGAATGTTCATTTAATCATATAAAAATAACAGTAAGAAAATCCTACAGAAAACTTTATAAAAAATCCATAATAGTAGATAAGCTCTTAATAAATTTAATAAATGAAACGTTCATAGAAGGTGCTGAGGAAAGCATGGAGGCCCCATCAGAATGTAAATGATACTGATGCCCATAAAAGAGCAGAGCTTCATCATTATTAAATTACTGTAAAATTTGAAATACCAGGCTTTCTTATATAATGGTAAAGTAATGTTTGGAAACATCTGTCAGAAGACCTGTTAGTGATCCTTCCTCTGATGCTGAAATCCATTGCATTCCAGCTTGATTTTACATGGCCTTCTGTAGTTAAAACGTTAATGGATAAAGATGCTTTCTCACTCTTTGTAAAAGCCAACATTTTCATTTCAAAAAGTTGAGCAGTAAGCCAGTGTGGTGAGTCATATGGTTTAATTCTGTCTGTCTACCCACCTATCTCTCACCACCACAGTACACTACTACAGAGTGACTAAAAACAGGATCTACAAAGAGGTTCTCTGAGCCAGGCATGGGGATGCACACCTGTAATCCTAGCAGTCTGGGAGGCTGAGGCAGGAAGAACCCGAGTTCATGCCCAGCTTTAGCAACTTAGCAAGACCCTGTGGCAAAAGAAAATGGGGGAGGGGGCCTGGAGATGTACCGTTAGAAGGTATGCTTAATTAACTCTACCCTGTCGTGATCTTATAACAAAGTATCCGAAAGGAGCGGAGATGAAGGCTAACACGGAGCCAAGGTAAGGTCCGTGGTGGGACTAGAGCACAGCTGAAGCGCTCGTGGGGGCGGAGGAGCGGAGGACGGCGCGTGTCTGAGGAGGACGAGGTCTTAGCGACAGGAACTCAGACCCACGCGAGTGGCACAGCTCTGGGAAGTGTGGCCGCGCGGAAGACCCCGGCAGAGCTGCTGACAAACAAGACTGAGCCGGAGAGGGCCGAGGACCTCTTAAACCCCTGGTGCGACTGCAGAAGTGAGGGTGACCTGGAAACCGCAAGATGGACGACGGGAAGCAGAGAGAAGTGAGCTGACCCAAACCGTGACGGTAATTTGGGTCGGAGAAACTGCGAAGCTCGCGGGCAAGTGAAATGCTGTCGGTGACGGTAACAGCCAGTGTTTGGCACGGGGTGTTTGTTTTGGTGGAATAAATTATACATGTAACCCGCGTAAAATCAGCATTTTCTTAAATGGCAATTTTAGAAATATGTTTTCCCTTCTAAATAAGAGCAAAGGCTTTATTACAGTGACACATTTTAACGACTTTCCTTATGTCTTACCCCGTGTGGGAGGAGTACACTTTCTGTTCCCATTTGTTTCCAGAAAATGCTATGTGCCGCGTGTTCATTATGATAACGTGATCTCCACAGTCACCTCGATTTAGAAAGAAATAAGACTGTATGAAAACTCAAACGCTTAAGAAAAAGTAGCCTTGAATATCTGTAAAGTTATCAAAGCCCAAACAGTGCATTGAAATAATAGAAATCAAACCGCAGTGCAAAATCAAAAATCATTGAACATAGTTCCATTACATTTTTCTATAATATCCACGTATAGAGAGAGTTGGCCGGACATTTGGAAAATCTCAACACTGGAAAGTACAAGACACTTACTAAAGAAGCCAGTAACAACAATTCATGCTTTAAATGCAAACTACTGTTATTCCTATTATCCTTCCCATTAACAATTACATTTCACTAAAAATATTTTTATTAGTACCTTTAGTTGATTCAATTTCCCCTCATACACAGAGAAAATGAAAAAAATATGTATGTAGATGTAAAACAATATATTTTATCAATAGGTAAATTGAAAACATGTGAAACATTACGATTATTATTCTTTTCCAATTTAGAGAACAGAACACTACTACGCTTAATTACTGCCACGGGTTTTTTCCAAGCACAACTAACTTTAAATTTAAATTGCCATTCTTAACTATGACTACAAATATACTTGACAGGACAAATGACCTTAATATATATTATATGCGTGTGTGTGTGTGTGTGTGTGTGTGATTAATTTTTTAGTGAAAAATACACCCAACTTTGGCTGTTTGTCTAAAAACAAGTCAGTATGGAAGTTCTCACATAAACCACGGTTCATAACAAAGTCAAGTAATCTCAAGCATTTATTACATGCTGACTCTAATAGAAAAACACTTCAAAAGACTCTAGAAGCTTAAGAAAAAAGGTCACTAACAGTCAGAAGTATGAATGAAGGTTACGTTATCAGGCTCTCTGCAGCGGCTGCATTTGGACAGCAGATACTACAGAATCCGTGCTCTGCACAGCACAAGGGTGGGGCTTCTCACGGCTGGAGCGGAGGCAGTGGAGGTGTGAAGGAAAACCCCGGAAAGCTTGCCGCTGTCAAGTGCTGCAAAATAGCTGACAGCATCTGGTAACGCAGGGACAGAAGCTCCTAAACTTGGCCCATGGTGCTTGTCTTTGGCAACGGGGCAAACGCTTCAGAAAAATAAACTAGTTAAGAAGATAATAAGATCACTGCAAAGAACGCGGAAATTCCCTCGGCTTCCATCCATGTCACAGCTGAAGAAGCTGAGGCCTTAGAAGAGCAAGAGACGTGCCAAAGTTCACATTCTGAGCTACTCGACATTGAGTTCTTTCCCTGGTAGCTACCTGAAGAAAAAATGGATTCTTTAATCTTTCCACTAAAACTGAACTCCTTTTTAAAATGTTGTTTAAGCTTTAAATATGTAGAAAGTATCTTGAGCCACCCAAAAACCAGCATCCCCCCAAACCCCCAAACGCTTATAAAGACCAAAAAGGATCTTCCAAGGGACGTCAGACGGAGTACTGCGATCACATGGAAACCGTCCTTTCCGCTCTAGGGCCTGGACAGCTTATCCCGGAAACCTATCTGCCCTTGGTGATCCAGGCCGCATCTTTATTAAATCACTCTCAGAAGCATTTCCCTATTATTCAATGAGTGATGTTTTTAGCTCCTCTGCTGTGAAATTTAAAAAGGGATTTTTTTCCAGGCTGAAACAATAGATATCCCTGTGCAGTTAGAAAAAGAGAGAAAGCATTTCCCTAACACTAAATATGACAAACCAGCAAGAACTTGCTTTTAACTGTATTGCATACTAGCAAAGCTAATATAACTGTGAAAGGCTGTACATAATCATGGAATATCATCATCACTTTGCCCAAATTTCTAAGTTAAATGTTTCAAACTTTTTATTAAAAAATTTAATTAATATACATGTATCAAATTAGATAAATCAAAGCTCTACTGAACAAGAGATATTTCAAAGAGAAATTTAGTTTGAATTGATAAAAGCTTATAAAAGTTTAGTAAGCAATTTTTAAAAATAGGAATTATAAGATAATTTGCAAAACTTCCACTTTGGATCTCTTACATCATCTGACTCCTTTGTGAAACCATTAGGTGTGAGTTTAAACGGCCAAATCAATTGAAACCCATCATCCAAGGGAATACGAGCACGAGTAGTGTGGGAAGGAACTGGCAAATGAGGCAGAGCTGTGTCCTGTTGTGCAGGTCTCCCCGACCTGGCTGGGTGTGGACGCAGGGAGGATAAGGTGACAGGTGGCTGTAACCCAGAGGTACGATGAGAGCAGGACTCACGTCCCGGAACCGATGGCCTCATTGTGGGTATATACACGGGGAGCTTCTCAGGTGCACGCTGTCACCATTTTGGTCCATTTTCTCCTCTGAGCCAGAACTAAGATTTTTTTCCCTCAAAACTGCCTGGGAGGAGGGGAAGAAACGCTTACTCAGGAGTTCCCACTGCAAAGTCCTAGCTGGGCGGTCTCAGAATGTCTCATCTGGGTGCTTATGTACCTCAACTTCTATTCTCCAACGAGCAAGCCCAAGTCTGAGGGGACCACACCTTGGCTAAGATTATACGGCCGGCCAATGAGTGGAAAAGTTAAGATTCAAATCCAACTCTAATCTTACCCTTTTTACGACAAGCAGCATGGTGAAGGGCTGGTGGGGAGGCACCACAGGGAAGCAACGCTGTCACTCATTAGCTCACCGTGCAGCCCTGTCTACCAAGCTGAGACCCCAGGACCTCTTCTCCGAATCGCTGTCCCCTCTGAACCTCCCCAGGTGCCAGCTCTCAGCGAGGTGTTCAAGGAGACCCACATTATAGGACACGACTCTCCAGCCTCATTTCCCACATGACCTCCTAGAGGGAAGGTGAGGCAAGCCTACACCACCCCTTACTTCTATTCCCCGAAGCACTACCCCACGGCGAGCTCTATTCTACACACACACACACACACACACACACACACACAGAGGCATAAATACCCATGCCTCCAGTTGCGTCTGTTCCAGATCTATTCCCAAACCTGTTCCACTTTATACACTGTTCAACTTCCCACATAAATATCAGTTCCTCCACCAAGCCCTTCCTGGTATGGAAGTAACTCCCTTGGATGCTTCAGATGCCTGAATTTCTTTCAACACTGGGTTCTACTTTGTTTTGGTGTTTGTATCATGTTGTTCCCTCCGACTAGTTTATAAGCTCCACGCTGAAGACTCTGCATTGCGCAGCCCTTCTATGACAGAGTGAGGAAGTGTTAAGAATTCCTGCTATTCACTCTCAACTTTCTGCAACAGGTAGGGTCCATTCAAGGGCAGATGCAAAGACACCCGCTCAGTTTGGTGGGAGTATCGAGTTCTTCCAAAATCTCTTGGTAATCCCCTTCCACTGATGGATAGTTAATCCACTTATTACTTATCACATACTTATGGCCGGGACTCTTGCTGCTAGAAATACAGCAATACATGTTATTGACGTCCCTGTTCATAATGAAGCTTATATTCTAGTGCAGTGTTGGCGAACCTATGGCACGTGTGCCTGAAGCTGGATGTTTGTTATCACGGAAGCTCTAAAAGGTTCGCCATCACTGCCCTGGTGGAAGGCGTTAGACCATAAAGAATCAGGTAAATAGTATGCAATCTGCCAGGAGCAGATAAAAGTGGGGGGATAGAGTTTTAGGGTAGGCATTATTAATTGACACGGTATCATCCCATGAATTTCTCTGGCATAAGTTAAGAGTGCATTTGCTATGTTGTTACAGTAAGCTTAAGTCTAGTTTTGTAGGAAACTGTCATACCACCTCCCAGGCTGTCTAGTTTACATTTGCACCAGCAACAAATGAGTATTCTGGTTTCTTTGCCCTTTTGCCAGCATTTGTGATCACTATTTTTATTTTAGCTATTCTGATAGATGTGTGGTTTTAATTTGCACCTCCCTTACGGCTTACAGTGTGCATCCTTTCATGTGCTTTTTACCTTCTGTTTACACATTTTGCCCATTTTTGAATTAGATTTTAATGGTTGAGTTTCAAAAGCTCTATATATTCCAGGCAGAAGTCATGTGTTGGCTACATGGATTACAGAGTCCACCAAAAACATGTATCTGCCTTCAGCAGTCCGCCATACTAATAAACGTCTGGAAGCGAGTGGGTGCCACTCGTGTAAGCGAATGGCACCTCATGTAATCGTAGAGCCCAAAGGTAACTTGTTTTAATCCTATGTCTCGATAAATTCAGTGTTCGAATAGAATACATAAAACACAATCTATAAGCTTTTCTTTCCCTGCCGAACACACTGTTGTGGCGGGCTACTCCCTTCCAGTCTGCAGTCTCTCATTCTCCCTTCTGGAGAAAAGCTCTTTGCTTTAGCACACTGATTCCACTGCACCCGCCAGAGTACTGGAGGCCTTAGGAGGAAACTTAGGGGAGGGGCTGACATCTTCCCTGTCCTTCAACCAGTGCAGCGCTGCTTTAAGTATTAAGATGTGGCTTGAGAAACGTTTGAAAACAGCTATTTCAAGTTAGCAATAAACAGCAGAGTTTAGCTTTGGCCTTTATGCCTGTCTCTAACTACCTATTTCAACATGACTTTTGGTACCCTGAACTGGTGTGTGGCCAGTGTGACAGGTGGTCACACAGTTACCATAAAATCCAGGGTGAAGACACCACCATAGGAACGAGGCACGCTGTTACCGTCGGTTTCCAAATACTCACTTCCCAAGGAGTAAGTATTCTAGATACAAGCTGAAGCAAAAGTTCCCTTCCATTCTCTGTAGGATATTCTACGAGTGAGATGAAGTATGGACGCACCATTTAGATTGCAAAATGAAAATGATATGATAATTAAGACTTGAACAGACTGGCTCTTAAGAGCGACAGAGAATTACGTCAGGCAGGTCTGAGGGGGCACCAAAATTCACAAGGCAGAACACCGGAGATGAGGCCATAAATCTGATCTTTGCTGAACCGTGTGGCCTGCTAGCATTCTTGGCATTAACCCGTGAGAACTGTGTGTCACTTTTTCATTCCCTGCAGACCGGGGACATGAAGATCATCTGCAGC